CACACACACAAACGATATTTAATCTAATAAGCAAAGATTTCCAGTAGGGGTGGGCGATGTAGCTCAAATATAATATTGTGATATTTCAGAGCATTCTGACGATAACAATAAATTTAGTGATATAACCAAAAAAAAAACAAGCTGAAATCATATTCGTTTGACAAAATTAACTTAACATGTTGCTTTGCAGTATTATATAAAAATCCACCTCAAAAATTAAAGTGCAGGTGCAGTTTCTCAAAATAACAAAATAAAATTAAAGCTTAAGATCTGTTAAGCATAAATGTAGCATACAACAAAATATGTTGTCTTTAAATGAGCTATAACTTCCAGAACTTGTAACAAGGTGATCATCTGACCCTGAAGCTTGTGGAGTTTCAGCTTCCTCTGTTCCTGGGAATGATTCATTTCTCTGATGCTCTGTCTTTCATCACCTGACTCTGTTCGTGGTCCATGGACTGTGAACTCAGTTTGGTTCGGTTGTTCGGCGCGCTCGGTTCTGTTAACGGGGCGGGGCGCCCTGACGTGTTAAGTCATGAAATTAGCATATCATGATTTCATTTATTTTCCCGGGCAAGCTTTTTTTACTGGTATTATCATGAACGATATGATATGGCCCAGCACTCATTTCCAGCCTAATAAATGATGGTTGATGGCTGAATCAATGAATAAACATACCTGAACTTTAACAGCAAAATGTTGATCTCTTTTACTCTGAGTGTCTTGCCAGTGACTTTTTTTCAAGGTTTATTATCTGTGTGTCCAAATACTTCTTTAAAACATCTTCAGTTGATCCAAAATGCTGCTGCCAGAGTCTTAACTGGAGTTAGTGGGAGAGATCATATTTCTCCAGTTTTAGCTTCTCCCCATTGGCTCCCTGTCAAATCCAGAATTGAATTCAACAACTTTACTTCTAACTAGGGCTGCAACTAACAATTATTTCAACAATCGATTAATTTTCCTGATTAATTGATGAATCTGCAAAAAAAAAAAAAACACACCAAATGTTTTAATTTCTGCCTCTTTATTCCAAAATTGAATATTTGACTGACAAAGCAATTTGCACAAAAAACAGGTTGCTACTTGACTTCTGTTAATAAAATATAGAAATAAAGTTAGTCAAATATCTTCAGTAAAAAATACATGTACACAAAAATATATACAAATGTATCTTTATACCTGCACAATATGTAGTAGCTACTTTGTAAAATGTGTCCTTGAGGGAAGAGTGTAACCTGGATTAAAAGTGTGGATTATTGTAACCTGGATTAAAAGTGTGGATTA